GAGATTATCCAAAGCCAGGAGAATGAGGATGTAGACTTCGGGTGCCAAAGAATCAGAATAGGTGTTGATATAGGATAGGGTCTCCTCCCCCAACAGGGTCAAAAAAGTAGTATTGAGGTTGCGATCTGTTAGCAGTATGGTAATGCCAGCGGCTAAGACTGGTAGGAGAGGAGTAGAAGGACTGCTGTGATTAAGATTGATCAGACAAATAGGGGTTTGGTATGGGATATTGCGGGGGGTTTTATGTTGACGATAGTGGTAATAAAGTTGATGGCCCTAAGATAGAGGAAATACCTGCTAGTGGAGGGAGAAGATGATTATCTACGGAAGCTCCTGGTGGGAGAAGTTTCCTGCTAAAGGGGGTATACTGTTCACCTGTTCCGGCGCCAGCTTCTACTACGGCTGATGCCATTAGTAGCAAGGAAGGAGGGAGGAGTCAGAAGCTTATGTTATTTAGCGGGGAATGCATGTCGGGTGCGCCGATTATTAGGGTACTAGTCAGTTCCCGAACCCCCAATTATAATAGGTATGACTGTAAAGAAAATTATAATGAATGCATGGGCCGTTACAATAACGTTATAGATGTGGTCGTTGCCTAGTAGGTTGCCGGGTTGGCCTAGTTCAGCTCGAATGAGGAGGCTTAGGGCAGTGCCTATGATTCCAGCTCATGCACCAAATAGTAAATACAGGGTTCCAATGTCTTTGTGTTTGTTGAAAAGAGTCAGCGATTAATGAGCATAAGTGGTAAAATGGCTGAGTAAGTATTAGGCTGTAAACCTAAAGACGGGGGTTTAGCCCCCTTTTACCAGCCCCGAGGTGATTTTCATGTTGAATTGCAAGTTCAAAGGAGCAGTTTAGAGTTTCTGCCGGGGCTTCTCCCGCCTTTTTCTCCCTGCGGCGGGAGAAGTGGGTCAAAGCCAGTCGGTTAGGGTGCTTAGCTGTTAACTAAGTTTTTGTGGGTTCGAGTCCCATTGATCTAGTAAGGGCTTAGCTTAATTAAAGTGGTTGATTTGCGTTCAATTGATGCAGAGTAGGTGTTTGCAGTCCTTATGTGTTTCAGAAATTAAGTGTTTTTACTTACTAAGGGCTTTGAAGGTCTTGGTCTTGTTTAACCTAAATTTCTAGTGAGGGTTAGAGTAGGGGGGAGATTGGTAGTAAAGAGTGGAGGGATGATGATGTGGGGGATAGAGGATGGGGTTTTGTATTTTCGAGTGTCATGTTTTTTGTTGTTTGGATGTGGGAATAGCGTTAGGGAGGTGGTGTAGATTAGGCGTATATAAAAGTATAAGGTAAGTAGGGTTATGATAGTTATAATAGAGGGGATGAGGAAGTTGTTGTTCATTGTGAGTTCTTGGATATAATTCATTTAGGTAGGAGCCGGTTAGGGGTGGTAGGCTCCTAGAGATAGGAATGGGTGCTTTAGCGGTGCTAGGTGGGTTGATTTGTTTCAGGTGCGGGATAGTATGAGGGTTGTGGTGCTTGAGCTTAAGTTGAGGGTTAGGAATATGTAGTTGTTAGGATAATGTTGTAGTTAAATAGAAAATTGTAGTTGCTGGGTTGTATACAAGTGTTATCATTATTCAACCCATGTGTGTGATTGAAGAGTACCTAGGATCTTGCGTAATTGTGTTTGGTTTAGACCTCCTCAACTGCCTACCGCAATGGATAGGGTGAGAGGGTTAGGAGGATGTGGTGTTGATTGATGGGTGAATTTGGTACATGATTGAGATGGGGGCTAGTTTTTGTCATGTAAGAAGGAGTAGACCTGAGTTAGGGGTGTTCCTTGGGTGACTTCTGGGACTCAGAAGTGGAAGGGGCTATTCCTAGTTTTATGGCGAGGGCGGTTGTTATTATTAGGGATGGGGGTTGGCTGATGTAGTTCGTTGTTGTTCAGCACCCTGATAGCAGGTGTTGGAGATGATTGCTATTATGAGGACTATAGATGCGGTAGATTGAATTAGGAAGTATTTAGTAGCGCTTCTGTGGAGCGGAGGCTTTGTTTTTTTATTAAGATCGGAATGAAAGCTAGTATGTTTATTTCTAGGCCTGTTCAGGCGAGAAATCAGTGTGAGCTTAGTGTTGTGATAAGTGTGCCTGTGATTATTGTGGTGTAGATATGGTTGAGCTAGTGGGTTAATTAGTACGGGAAGGATGTGACCAACATTTTCGGGGTATGGGCCCGATAGCTTGTTTAGCTGACCTTACTTTAGGATAGAGTGTGTAGGGTAGCACGGAGAAGTTTGGATTCTCAGGGTAGGTTCGATACCTACAGTCCTAGAAACAAGAGGATTGGGGCCTCTATTATTTACTCATCAAAGTAACTCTTTTGTCAGACATATTTCTAGGTTTGAGGGGGAATGCTGGAGATTGCGATGGGTATTGAGGTGGATCATATGAGTAGTGCTAGTGTGAGGGGAGGAAATTTTTCATAGTAGGTGTATAAGTGGTCGTAACGGAATCGGGGGTATGCTGCTCGGATTCATAGGAATAGGGAAGTTAGGAAGTAGTGTTTTGATGGTAACATGTTGTGAATAGTTCTGGAGAGTGGGTGGGGGTAGAATGTGCCTAGGAAGATTGTGGCTGTTAGGGCGTTTATTATGATGATGTTTGTGTATTCGGCTATGAAGAACAAGGCGAATGGACCTGCAGCGTATTCGATTTAAAGCCTGATACTATTCTGATTCGCCTTCTAGGAGGTCAAAGGGGGTTCGGTTTGTCTCTGCTAGCGTAGAGGTGAATCATATTATGGCTAGAGGTCATGATGGTAAGAGAAGTCATAGGTGTGTTCTTGCGTTGTAATGAGTGTGTTAAGGTTAAATGAGCCGCTTGTTAGTAAGACTGATAGTAGGATGATAGTGAGGGTGACTTCGTATGAAATTGTTTGGGCGACGGCTCGTAGGGCTCCGATTAGGGCATAGCTTGAGTTTGATGCTCATCCTGACCATAGGATGGAGTGGGCTATTATGCTAAGTATGGCTAGGGTGAATAGGAGTCCTAGGTTGAAGTTGATTAGAGCGTTGGGTATGGGGAGGGGGGTTCATAGGAGAGGGTAATGGAGAAGGCTAAAGCGGGTGCGATAATATAGAGGGGGTGTGGTGGAATGTTGAGGGTTTAGGGGCTCTTTGGTGAAAGTTTTACTGCATCAGCGAAGGGTTGTAGTATCCGATATGGACCTACAACATTGGGGTCCTTTTCGTAGTTGCATGTAGCTAGTAATTTCGTTCGACGAGTGTGGAGGGAATGCTATGGCGGCTAATGTGGGTGTAATTAGAAGTAGGAGGTTTACCTGTGGTCATGTGTTAAGAAGAGGGTTGAACCTCTGGTTGTAAAGTTTTAAGTTTTATGCATTCCAGGGCTCTGCCATCTTAACAAACCCTGTTTCGGGTAGAATATGTGGTATTTTTGTTAAATTGAGACTTAGGTCATTTATGTAATGAGGCGCTTTAGTGAAGTGGCCTTATTTCTCTTGTCCTTTTCGTACAGGGAGAATTACAATAGATAGAAAACCGACCTGGATTGCTCCGGTCTGAACTCAGATCGACGTAGGACTATTAATCGTTGAACAAACGAACCCTTGATAGCTGCTGCACCATGGTAGGACTGTTCCTGATCCGAACATCGAGGTCGTAAGCTCTATTGTCGATATGGACTCTAGAATAGAATTGCGCTGTTATCCTAGGGTAACTTGTTCCGTTGATCAAATTATTGGATCAATTATGGTTAGTTCGCTTTGGACTTGTGTGGTCTTGGCATGTATTGTTCGGAGGTTTTATTATGCTCCGAGGTCGCCCCAACCAAAATTTTTAATGCAGGTGTAGTAGTTTAGAGGTCCGTGGGTTTGTGAGGTTTTTGATTGCATTAATAAATTAAAGCTCCACAGGGTCTTCTCGTCTTATTATTTATCAGGTAACAAAATTAAAGCCATAATAAAAAAAAAAGGCTGTAGGACCAGACTGAAAAATAGAGAAGGAAAGAACATTTCCAAACTCATTCTTTGAGACTAGTATTACACTGATATCAAAACGAAGGGCAAAGACACATTAAAAAAAAACAAACTACAGGCCCATATTTGAGAATATTGATGCAAAAATTTGTAAAACAAACTAGCAAACTGAATTAAACAATACCTAAATAGGTAATTCATAATGACCAAGTGGAATTTTATCCCCAGGGATGCAAGGATGGTTCAATATGCAAATCAATCAATGTGATATATAAACAGAATGAAGGGCCGGGCTCAATGGCTCATGCCTGTAATCCCAGCATTTTGGAAGCTGAGGTGGGCAGATCACCTGAGTTCAGGGAGTTCAAACCCAGCCTAGCCAACATGGCGAAATCCCATCTCTACTAAAAATAAAAAAAATTAGCCAGGTGCAGTGGTGGGTACCTGTAATCCCCAGCTACTCGGAAGGCTGAGGCAGGAAAATCACTTGAACCCAGGAGGCAGAGGTTGCAGTGAGCCGAGATCATCGCCATTGCACTCCAGCCTGGGTGACAGAGGAAGACTTGTGTCTCAAAAAAAAAAAAAAAAAAAAAGAACAAAATCCATATAATCATTTCCATTATGCCTAAAAAATATTTGATAAAATTAATATTCTTTAATAAAAAAGCCCATTGAAAACTGGGTATGGAATGAACATATCTCAACATATTAAAGGCATATATGACAGACCCACAGCTAGTATCTTACTAAGTGGGGAAAAGCTAAAAGCCTTTCCTCTAAAATCTGGAAGATGACAAGAATATCCCACTTTTACCACTGTTATTCAACATAATCTGAAAGTCCTATCTGAAGCAGTCAGACAAGAGAAAGCAATAAAAGTCATCCCATTTGGAAAAGAAGTCAAATTATTGTTTTGCCAATGACATAATCTTATATTTGGAAAAACATAAAGACTCCTCTGATAGGGTTTGAATGTATGTCCCCTCCCAAATCTCATATTTTTAATTCGCAATGTTGGAGTGGACCTGGTGAAAGGCAATTTAAACCATCAGGGTGGATTACTCATAAATGTCTTAGCACCATCCCATTTGGTACTATACTCATGATAGTGAGTGAGTTCCCATAAGATCTGGTTATTTAAAAGTGTGTAACAACTCGCCCCTCTGTTTTTTGCTCCTGCTTTTTGCCCTGTGATGTGCAAGATTCTGCTTCAACTTCTGCCATGACCGTAAACTTCCAGAGGCCTTCCCAGAAGTGCATGCCAGTGCTGTCTCTCTACAGCTTGTAGAATCATGAGCCACTTAAACCTCCCACCCAGTCTCAGGTACTTATAGTGATGGAAAAAAAGCTTAATACAGAAAATTGGCACAAAGGAGTGGAAAATTGTTATAAGAATACCTGAAAATATGGAACCAGCTTTGTAATTGGGTAAACAGGCAGAGTTGGAAGAGTTTGCAGGACTCAGAAGAAGATAGAAAAATGAGGGAAAGTTGAGATGTTCTTAGAGACTGGTTGAATGGCTGTGACCAAAATGCTGGTAGTGATCTGGACAGTGAAGGCTGAGCTGAGGAGGTCTCAGATGAAAATTAGAAACTTAGGACCGAAGCAAAGGTCATTCATGTTGTCTTAACAAAGTGGTTGACTGAATTTCTGTCATGCCCTAAGGATATATAAAAGTTGGAAATTGAAAGTGATGGGCCGGGCGCGGGTGGCTCAAGCCCTATAATCCCAGCACTTTGGGAGGCCGAGACGGGCGGATCATGAGGTCAGGAGATCGAGACCCATCCTGGCTAATACGGTGAAACCCCGTCTCTACTAAAAAAATACAAAAAAAACTAGCCGGGCGATGGTGGCGGGAGCCTGTAGTCCCAGCTACTTGGGAGGCTGAGGCAGGGAGAATGGCGTAAACCTGGGAGGCGGAGCTTGCAGTGAGCTGAGATCCGGCCACTGCACTCCAGCCTGGGTGACAGAGCGAGACTCTGTCTCAAAAAAAAAAAAAAAAAAAAGAAAGTGATGATTTAGGATTTCTGTTGGGAAAATGTCTAAGCAGCAAAGCATTCAAGATGTGGCCTGGCTGCTACTAACAACCTATGCTCACATGTTGGAGGAAAAAAAAAAAGTTGTAACTTACTTTTACTTACAAGGGAAGCATAATGTAAAAGCTTGAAAACTTTGTAGCCTAGTCATGTGGCAGAAAAAATAAAAAGCTTTATAAGAGAGGAACTCAAGCAGGCTGTGGAGCAATCACTTGTTAAACATATTTTTATAACCTTAAAAATAAAAGCAAGACAATGGGAAAGAGGAATTGAAGGCATTTTAGAAATCTAAAAAGCAGCCCCGCATCACAGGCCCTGAAGTCTAAAAGAAGAGAATAGTTTCTGGGATCAGGCCCAGGAGCTGCTGCCTTGGGTAGCCTTGGAACGTGGCTCCCTGCATCCTGGCCAGTGCTCCAGCACCAGATGTAGCACAAATTGGCCCAGTTACAACTCCAGTCACTACTTCAGAGGGTGCAAGCCATAAGCCTTTGGTAGCTTTCATATGGTGTTAGGCTGAGAGTGTACAAAATGCAAGAGTTGAGACTTGGGAGGCCTCCACCTTTACCTCAAAGAATGTATAACAAAGCCAGGGTGTGCAGGCAGAAGCATGCTGCAGGGGTGCAGCCCTCATGGAGAACCTCTACTAAAACAATGCAGAGAAGAAATGTAGGGTTACAATCCCCATGTTAGCTCCCCAATGGGGCATGGCCTAGTAGATCTGTGAGGAGAGGATCACTGTCCTCCAGATCCCAGAATGGTAGATCTAGCTACAGCTTGCACCTTGCACCTGGAAAAACCAGAAGCACACAAAACCGGCCAGAGGAACACAATACCAGCCCATGAGAGCAGCTCTATGGCTGAACAATGCAAAGCCACAAGGTCTAAACGTCTCAAGGCATTAGTGTGCCCTGGAAATGGGACATAGAGTCAAACATAATTATTTTGGAGACTTACAATTCAATAACTGCCCTTCTGGGTTTCAGACTTGCATGGGTCCTGTGGCCTCTTTCTTTTAGCTGATTTCTTCCTTTTAGAATAGGAGTATTTACCCAATGCCTATGCCCCGTTTGTATCTTGGAAGTACCTAATTTGTTTTTATTTTTACAGGCTTATAGGAGGAATAAACTAGCTTTGTCTTAGATGAGACTTTCGACTTTTAAGTTAAGGTTGAAATGAGTTAAGAATTTGGGGATTATTGGGAAGGTCATGATTGTATTTTGATATATGAGAAGGATATGAGATTTAGAATGGCCAGAGCCAAATGATATAGTTTGGGTGTGTGTTCCCACCAAAATCTTATATTGAAATATAATCCTCAATGTTGGAAGTGGGCCTAGTGGGGAGGTGATTGAATCATGAGGGCAGGGATTTCCATGAACAGTTTGGCATCATTTCCTTTGGTGACATTCTCACAATAGTAAGTTTTCATGAGAGCTGGTTATCTACAAGTGTGTGTAGCACTTCCCCCTGGCCTTTGCACTTACCATGGGATGTGCAAGCACTGGATTTATTTTCACCTTGTCAGTTGTCAGAGGCTTCACCAGAAGCAGATGCCGGTGCTATGCTTTCTGTACAGCCTGTAGAACCATGAGCCAATTAAACCTATTTCCTTTATAAATTAACCAGTCACTGATTATTTTTATAGCAATGTGAGAATGGCCTAATATATCCACCAAAAAAACTATTAGAAGTAATAACTCGAGTAAATTTGCAAAATACAAAATCAACATATACAAATCAGTAGGATTTCTATATGCCAACAGTAAACAAACTGAAAAAGAATTCAAAAAAAGTATCCTATTTACAATAGCCACAAATAAACTGTGTGGGAATTTACCAAAGAAATAAAAAGTTTTCAACAATTAAAAATGTAAAACCACTGGTAAAAGAAATGAAAGAGAACACACACAAAAAATGGAAAGATATTTCTATGTTCACAGATTGGAAGAATCAGTATTTTAAAAAATGTCCATATGATCCAAAGCAAGCTATACATTTCATGCCATCTCTGGTCAAAATAACAATGACATTCCTCACAGAAATAGAAAAAAAAACCTGAAATATATATGGAACTACAAAACACCATAATAGTCAAAGCTATGCTGAGTATATAAACCAAAACTGGAGGAATCCCATTACCTGGTTTAAATTATACTATCAAGCTATAGTAATTAAAACAACTTGACACTAGAATAAAAAGACATAAAGACAAATGGAATGAAATAGAGAACTTAGAAGCAAACTCATACAGCTAAACTAAACTTATTTTCAACAAAAGTGTCAAGAACATACAACAAAAATAAGACCGTTTCTGTAGCAAATAGGGCTGGGAAAACTGACAAGCCATAGGCACAAGAATGAAACTAGAACCTTATTTCTTGCCACATGCAAAAATCAAATTAAAATAAATAAAAGACTTAAATCTAACACCTCAAACTATCAAAATTTTACAAGAAAACATTGGGGAAACTCTTTAGGGCATTGGTTTGGGCAAAAATTTCTAAATAATGCCCCATAAGCACAGACGACCGAAGCAAACATGGACAAATGGAATTACAGCAAGTCAGAAAGCTTTTTTAAAGTGAAGGAAACAATAAACAAAGCGAAGAGAAAACACACAGAATGGGAAAAAAATATTTGTAAATTACCCATCTGAAAAGCAATTAATAGCTACATGATATGGTTAGGCTTTGTGTCCCCATCCAAATTTCATATTGAATTGTAATCCCCAGGTGTTGAGGGAGAGGACCTGGTAGCAGGTGATTGGATCATGGGGGTGGTTTCCCCCATGCTGTTCTTCTGATAATGAGTGAGTTATCATGAGATCTGATGGCTTTATAAGGGGCTCTTCCCTCTTTGCTTCACATACATGCTGTCTTGCCTGCTGTCGTGGAAGAGGTGCCTACTTCTCCATCTGCCGTGATTGTAAGTTCCTGAGGCCTCCCCAGCCATGTGGAACTGTGACTCAGTTAAACATATTTCCTTTATAAATTACCCAGTCTTGCCAGCATAGTGGCTCATGCCTGTAATCCCAGTGCTTTGGGAGGCTGAGGCGGGTGGATCAGAAGGTCAGGAGTTCAAGGACCAGCCCGGCCAAGATGGTGAAGCCCCATCTCTACTGAAAATACAAAAACTTAGCTGGGCATAGTGGCAGATGCCTGTAATCCCAGCTACTCAAGAGGCTGAGGCAGAGAATTGCTTTGAACCCAGGAGGTAGAGGTTGCAGTGAACCAAGATCGTGCCAGTGCACTCCAGCCTGGGTGACAGAGCAAGACTTCATCTCAATAAGTAAATAGATACATAACCCAGTCTCAGTTTTTTTTTTATAGCAGTGCAGGAACAGACTAATACACTGCAATATATTGAGTTCAAAAATTCTATAGAAAAAAATGTAGTAATCCAATTAAAGAGTGGACAAAAATTTAAATGGACATTTATGAAAAGAAGACATACAGATGGCAAACAGGCAAATGAAAAGGTGCTCCACATTACTGATCATCATGGAAATGCAAATCAAACCCAAAATGAGATACCATTTCACCCCAGTTAAGGTGGCTTTTATCCAGAAGTGAGTCAAAAACAAATGTTGCTAATAGCCAAGATTTGGAAGAGACCTAAATGTCCATCAACAGATGACTGGATGGAGAAAATGTGGTACATGTACACAATGGAGTACGATTCAGCTGTAAGAAAGAATGAGAGGCCGGGCACGGTGGCTCAAGCCTGTAATCCCAGCACTTTGGGAGGCCAAGACGGGCGGATCACGAGGTCAGGAGATCGAGACCATCCTGGCTAACACTGTGAAACCCCGTCTCTACTAAGAAAATACAAAAAACTATCCGGGCGAGGTGGCGGGAGCCTGTAGTCCAGCTACTCTGGAGGCTGAGGCAGGAGAATGGCGTAAACCTGGGAGGCGGAGCTTGCAGTGAGCTGAGATCCGGTCACTGCACTCCAGCCTGGGCGACAGAGCAAGACTCCGCCTCAAAAAAAAAAAAAAAAAAAAAAAAAAAAAATGAGAGTCTGACATTTGCAGTAACATAAATGGACCTGAAAGTCTTTAGGTTAAGTGAAATAAGGCACAGAAAGACAAATGTCACATGTTTTCACTTATTTGTGGGTGCTAAAATTCGAAACAATTGATGTCATAGAGATAGAGAATATAAGGATGGTTACTAGAGGCTGGGAAGGGCAGTGGGGGAACAGGGGATTAGTGGGGATGTGAAATGGGTACAAAAAATTGTTAGAAAGAATGAGTAAGACAGTATTTGATAGCATAACAGGGTGATTATAGTCAAAAATAATTATATATTTTATAAAAACTAAAATAGTATAATTGGATTTATAAGCTATAAATGCTTGAGGGGGATGGATTACCCCGTTTTAAATTACGTATTACTCATTGCATGCCTGTATCAAAGTATGTCTTGTACCCCCATAAATATATACACCAACTATGTACCCACAAAAATAAAAATTAAAATTAAAACCAAAAGGAGGAGAGTATAATGAGGCATGTGTGACCCATGGCTTGAACTAGCTTTTCAGGTTAACTTTGAAATGTCCTTATCCAAGAAGAGGGGTCCATTTAGTCAATAGGGGCTTAGAAATTAATTTTAATTTATAAGTGGAAAAAAGAAGGATTTTTAATCCTGAGCTATAGCTCTCAGTCAATCAATCCCTGCAGGGAGCCCTGATCTTTACTCTGGAGATAAACACTAGTTTTCTTTTCCATGGAATAACACCATATTTCAAAATGAGGGGAAACATCTTGAAACTAAGAGTACAGCCTTATTAAATTTGATTTGGTTTCCATTGTAATTAATCACGTGTGTTCCAGAGTTTGTCTTCCGTCTTCTCCTTTAGGCCTATGATCTGTTCAACTTGCTCAGCTCCCTGCTCAACAGCAAGAAATCAGTTAGAATTATTTAAAAAACCTCATTGTGCCTGGAGCGGTGGCTCATGCCTGTAATCCCAGCAATTTGGGAGGCCAAGGTGGGCAGATCACTTGTTGTCAGGGGTTTGAGACCATCCTGGCAACAGAGTGAAACCCCACTTGATAGGTGTCATGTCCCTGGTTGCAGGCTGCCACCCTGTTAGCATGTGCTCTAGCCACTCCCATAATACACTGCTTATCTACCACGCAGCAGGTGAGCACAAATATATGCAAATCTTGCCTGGTCAGATCATACATCAAGGTTAGCCTCTCAAATTTGTCTATGAATTTTCCTGGAACCTCTGAAAACTGTTTTAGTTTTTCCTTGCATACGGCTAATTCAGACATAGAAAGGGGTACGTATACCTATTATAGTGTCCCTATTATCATCTGTCACTTCCCAGAGAGGGCAAACATTCAACTTTGCCAGCTGATAAGAGGCCCAACTGCATGTTGTTCTGGTGAAGCTCAGGTGTTCTCCTCAGTTTGGCTCATCTAAAAGCCTGCACAGTGACAATGGCCCATCTTTCACGGCAGGAATATCCCAACACCTATCCTTAGCTTGAAGAATCCAATATTACCTTCACTCTGTATGGAGACTGTGTCCTCTGGAAAGGTGAAAGGGCTAATCCCACTCTAAAGTAGACTCTAGCCAACCAATAGAAAAAGAGGGAATGCTCCCTAACTCATTTATGAGGCCAACATCATCCTGATACCAAAGCCTGGCAGAGACACAAAAAAAGAGATTTTAGACCAATATCCCTGATGAACATCGATGCAAAAATCCTCAATAAAATACTGGCAAACCGAATCAGCAGCACATCAAAAAGCTTATCCACCATGATCATGTGGGCTTCATCCTGGGATGCAAGGCTGGTTCAACATACGCAAATCAATAAACATAATCCAGCATATAAACAGAACCAAAGACAAAAACCACATGATTATCTCAATAGATGCAGAAAAGGCCTTTGACAAAATTCAACAGCCCTTCATGCTGAAAACTCTCAATAAATTCGGTATTGATGGAACGCATCTCAAAATAATAAGAGCTATTTATGACAAACCCACAGCCAATATCATACTGAATGGGCAAAAACTGGAAGCATTCCCTTTGAAAACTGGCACAAGACAGGGATGCCCTCTCTCACCACTCCTATTCAACATAGTGTTGGAAGTTCTGGCTAGGGCAATCAGGCAAGAGAAAGAAATCAAGGGTATTCAGTTAGGAAAAGAAGTCAAATTGTCCCTGTTTGCAGATGACATGATTGTATATTTAGAAAACCCCATCATCTCAGCCCAAAATCTCCTTAAGCTGATAAGCAACTTCAGCAAAGTCTCAGGATACAAAATTAATGTGCAAAAATCACAAGCATTCTTATATACCAGTAACAGACAAACAGAGAGTCAAATCATGAATGAACTTCCATTCACAATTGCTTCAAAGAGAATAAAATATCTAGGAATCCAACTTACAAGGGATGTAAAGGACCTCTTCAAGGAGAACTACAAACCACTACGCAGTGAAATAAAAGAAGACACAAACAAATAGAAGAACATACCATGCTCATGGATAGGAAGAATCCATATCGTGAAAATGGCCATACTGCCCAAGGTAATTTACAGATTCAATGCCATCCCCATCAAGCTACCAATGAGTTTCTTCACAGAATTGGAAAAAACTGCTTTAAAGTTCATATGGAACCAAAAAAGAGCCCACATTGCCAAGACAATCCTAAGTCAAAAGAACAAAGCTGGAGGCATCACGCTACCCTGACTTCAAATTATACTACAAGGCTACAGTAACCAAAAACAGTATGGTACTGGTACCAAAACAAAGATATAGACCAGTGGAACAGAACAGAGCCCTCAGAAATAATACCACACATCTACAGCCATCTGATCTTTGACAAACCTGAGAAAAACAAGAAATGGGAGAAGGATTCCCTATTTAATAAATGGTGCTGGGAAAATTGGCTAGCCGTAAGTAAAAAGCTGAAACTGGATCCTTTCCTTACTCCTTATACGAAAATTAATTCAAGATGGATTAGAGACTTAAGTGTTAGACCTAATACCATAAAAACCCTAGAAGAAAACCTAGGTAATACCATTCAGGACATAGGCATGGGCAAGGACTTCATGTCTAAAACACCCAAAGCAACAGCAACAAAAGCCAAAATTGACAAATGGGATCTAATTAAACTAAAGAGCTTCTGCACAGCAAAAGAAACTACCATCAGAGTGAACAGGCAACCTACAGAATGGGAGAAAATTTTTGCAATCTACTCATCTGACAAAGGGCTAATATCCAGAACCTACAAAGAACTCAAATTTACAAGAAAAAAACAAACCCCATAAAAAGTAGGCAAAGGATATGAACAGACATTTCTGAAAAGAAGACATGCATACAGCCTACAGACACATGAAAAAATGCTTGACATCACTGGCCATCAGAAATGCAAATCAAAACCACAATGAGATACCATCTCACACCAGTTAGAATGACAATCATGTAAAAGTCAGGAAACAACAGGTGCTGGAGAGGATGTGGAGAAATAGGAACACTGTTACACTGTTGGTGGGACTGTAAACTAGTTCAACCATTATGGAAAACAGTATGGCGATTCCTCAAGGATCTAGAACTAGAAGTACCATATGACCCAGTCATCCCATTACTGGGTATATACCCAAAGGATTATAAATCATGCTGCTATAAAGACACATGCACACGTATGTTCATTGCGGCACTATTCACAATAGCAAAAACTTGGAATCAACCCAAATGTCCATCAGTGACAGACTGGATTAAGAAAATGTAGCACATATACACCATGGATACTATGCAGCCATTAAAAAGGATGAGTTTGTGTCCTTGTAGGGACATAGATGCAGCTGGAAACCATCATTCTCAGCAAAACTATCGCAAGAACAGAAAACCAAACACCGCATGTTCTCACTCATAGGTGGGAACTAAACAATGAGATCACTTGGACTCGGGAAGGGGAACATCACACACCGGGGCCTATCATGGGGAGGGGGGAGGGGGAAGGGATTGCATTGGGAGTTATACCTGATGTAAATGACGAGTTGATGGGTGCTGACGAGTCGATGGGTGCAGCACACCAACGTGGCACAAGTATACATATGTAACAAACCTGCAGATTATGCACATGTACCCTAGAACTTAAAGTATAATAATAAAAAAAAAAAAAAAAGAAGACTGTAGTTAAATCAGAGGTCTATCTCTAACACCGATAGCTTACTGTGGATTTGAACTGCTCCAGAGTAAAACTTATAATGAAGTCCTGTTAACAGACGAAGGCCTTTCCTAACCACAGATCTCCTAATAGAGGAAGGACTCATCAATTACAGAAATATGTCATCAATCTAGGACAGGTGCAAAGGCACTCTGTAAGTGTGGAAACTGGCGTCCTCCCCTCCCACATGGGAGGAAAATTCAGTTTCAGGTCAGCTAGGAATTGAGTCTTAGTAAAGACGTGGGAGGAAGTTCTCCAGCTGATCAGCTTTCCCCAGCGTGGAAAGGACCACAGCAGGGACACCTGAGCTCTCCAACAGACGTTCAACGCCAAGGGGTTCACAAGTGGGTACACCTGTGTGGAAGTAAAGCCGTTGCTTATTCTGGGAGCCGAATCCGAGGCTGGGGGAGGTGGGCGCGGGGCTGTTTCAGCGTTGGCGGAGGCGCGGCTGAGTCACTGTTTGTCTGATCTTCCTCCTCGCGTTTCTCCTGCCACCCTGATCCCGCCTTAGCCATGAGAGAGATGTGCTCACGCAGGCCGAGCAGTGCGGGAACCAGATTGGTGCCATGGTTGGCAGCCGGGGCTCTGAGGGCTCAGCTCGGGCATGCCGGGTGGCCAGGGAAGATGTTGGCAGTGGTTGGGGCGGGGGCGGGTCCTCTGCATTGCGGCCCCTGGGCTCCCTGCTGGGACGTGGTGGGACTGGGTGGCTGGTGAGGCCGCTGGGGTGGACCCTAGGGACACAGCGGCCTAGGGATGGGGGTGAGGATGGGGGTGGGAGAGGGGCTGGGGCTCCGTGACTTAGCCCTGGCCTGTCTGGCCCCTCCCCTCTCTTGCAGTTCTGGGAGGTGATCTCTGATGAACATGCCATCGACTCCGCTGGCACCTGCCGTGGGGACAGCCGTCTGCAGCTGGAGCGCATGGAAGTATACTACAAAGAGGCCTGCGGTGAGAGCCCCGTCCTTCCCCACCGCCCTCCTGGGAACGTGGTCCTCCCCTCGCTCATGCCCTCCCGCCCCACTCTGGTGGCAGGTATGTGCCCCGCCCTGTGCTGGTGGATTTGGAGCCAGGCATCATGGACTCTGTGCGCTCAGGGCCCTTCCGGCAGATCTTCAGACCGGACAACTTCATCTTCGGTGAGCTGTGGGGGAGGACTGGGGTGAGGTTCTTTGGCCGCTCAAAATCTAGGAGTGCCCCAAGGTCATCGCGGTGGGAATTGTGGAGTCAGGGCCCCCAGAACACCCTCCTATCCTCCGAGTGGAGTGGCTGCATCTGCCTCCTAAACGGGCTTTGGGAGGAAGGCCCAGGTGCCTCTTCAAGGTGAAGAGCTACTGACGTAAACTCCCTGCAGGGAGCTGAGTTGGGGCTGTGGATACTGAGTATCAACAGTATCAGGATGCCACCGCCCAGGAGGAGGAGTTTGAGGAGTATGCTGAGGAGGAGGCCTAGAACTTTCCTTTTCTAGGTAAAGGGGGAAGCAGTGTGGATTCTTTACTGTGTTCTGACTGCCATGTGTCACTACGCACTTGTTCGTGTCTTCACCTCTCCTCCTCCTGCATTTTAAAGCATTTTTATAGTATATGATTTTGCCTAATAAAGTATCCTCATAGCATCTGGTTTCACCTCCACCTTCTTTTTATGGGCCCTCTGGCTACGGCTGCCAGGTGCGCATGGTTGTCCTGCAAGGCTGAAGCTGTCTGGGTTTGTCACGTGCCCAGGAACAAGCATTCCAGTGGCTCCAGGAGGGGTCGGCATGGGCTGTGGACATGGCAGGCAGGCTTCACCTGAACTTAGGGATGCCCTGGGCCTTGGCGGCTACGTGGTGAAACCTGTTCTGAAGGCAAGCCTTGGCTTATCCCATGTTCCAGACTTCTAGGGGACCAGCTCCCCTCTGTTTCTTGAACTCAAAGTGGTCAGTGACCCTGGTGGGCAATGTCCCCAAAGTCCCATCTCAGGATAGGCATGTGGTCAGGCTCTGAACCAGCAATGGAGGGTGGGCAAGTAGGACCCCAGCTGCTCCATCACCATGACGGCCTGGGTGTGTTTGTGTGACCTCATTCTCTTGAGGTGGGTATGGGATATCTGGCAGGGACTAGTGGGCAGAAATCAAGCCCAGTGTATACTCACATGCACTGACCCCTATGCAGAGGGGATTAGGTCCTGGGGGCCATAGATGGTGGTTGCTGGGCCTGTGTGCTCAGGGCAGCCTCTCCAGAGGCACAGATGGGGTTTCTGAACAGGACCTGGGAGACGGGCAGGTGCTCACAATGCTGCTTCCCCAACTGGCAACCAGTGAGGAAAAACGGCCCGAGTGGAGGTCAGACCTGCCCAGTCTGGAGGCCTGATGCTCTCTGGAAAGGTGGCTAATGCGTACTGTCTGTGTCTCCCTGTCCCCCTCTCCAAAACTTCAGGGCAAAAATAACCCAAGATTGTCAGGATGAGACTGGTGAGGGTGGCACCTTTGGGAATAGGCCCTTTAGCCTGGCAGAGTCTCCTCCCCAGGCTTCTCGGGGAGCCTGGACTTCAAAGCCTGCTTTGGGGAAGCTGTCAAATAAGAGATGTGTGTGTGTGAGCTGGGGCCGGGCAGCATGCACGGACAGTGCTCTTCTACCTGGCTCTTGTAGAACTTGTCCATGGCCTGTGTGATGGTCTCTTGGTAATTCCCACCCCCACCCCCATCACGCAGATAAGATGAAGCCAGCATAGCCTGGGGGTGGGCCGAGGTATAGGTTCTACCCCAGGTCCCCTGGACATACCCACCTGCCTTTGACGTGTCGGGGGAAACAGGTGAGGCCCCTTTTGTTCTCTGAATGTTGGCAATGGTCTATTGCAGCCAAAACGGGAACAGGCAGGCAGGAGAGTGCCTCATCTCGAAAGAAGTGGCTCCTGGGAGCGGGGAGAGGTCCCTCATACTCCCCCAACCTGTTCTCGGAGCAGGAAAAAGGAGCTTCTGTGACAACCCAGCTCAGTGGCTCTCACTGTCTGAGGGGTGTCCTTGCCCAACCCCAGGTGCACACCCATCTGAGATGGCCTTGCATGGACCTGGTTGGGAAGGTTCAGCTGCAGCAACCACTGGAACCTGCCTACACCTAGTGTCTCCACTCACGTGTGGGGCTAGATGCTCCCCCCTCCTGTAGTGGTACAGCCAGAGTGCAGAGGGGGCAAGTCACTGCTGCAGTTCCCACCTGGGTCTGAGTGAGGGTCAGGCTTAGTGCCCATGTGTTTTCCAATTACCTGGTTCCATCTGGGTGCTTCATGGACAGGATTGTGCTTTTCCAGGCCTCTTTTCCATATGCCAGCTACAGGCCCAGGTTTCCCAAGTTTCTGGAGCCCCTCTTCCAGCCTGGCAAGCATGACATGTTGTAGGGGAAGGACATCAAGCCTACAGGCAGCAGAACCTGTCTGGGGTATGTTCTCTACCCCTGGAGGCCCCTGGTTGTTTACCTTTTTGGGTGAGAGTCAGCTTAGGTTCTCAACATTCTTGTAGGACTTCAGAACTGTACAGACAGGGGCCCAGGAGGGAGCAGGGGCTGGGACTGGCAGCTAACCAGTGTAGTGGGGTTGTAGGGCTCAGTCTGGTCTTGCAGGAAGTTCAGGGAGGCTTGGATTTGCTGAAGCTCTAGACAAACTTGGGCTTGGATATGGAAACAGCATGGAGCTGGGTTTCTATGCATGCTGGAGTCTGAGTATTTGCACCCTGGTGCACCCACAGGTGTTCCCCACCTGGAGCACAGCTGTGGATAGAAGCTGGGAGAGCTGTGAAGGGAAGAGGAGGAGGCGGGAGTCTCAGGGCAGCCCCAGCAGCCAGGCAGGGCCTCTGAAAGTGAGAGGCAGATCCAGCCTGTTGGCCACTTAGCAGCTGCTTGGCCAGCTGCAGATCACCTGACCTCTGCTCACCAGTAAAGGGGGGTTGCAGAAGCAGTTCCTTCTGGGACTTCTGAATCTCGAGGGGGCAGCACGCACCACATGCTGAGAAAGCGCCGAACTCAGGCAAGCTTCTCCAAGAGCACCTCATCAGATTAACATCCAACCTGTACAGGACACCATCGAACCTCCCCATCCCTCATTCCAACCGAAGAAACCAACCTGTACAGGACACCATCGAATCCCCCCATTCCTCATTCCAACCAAGGAAATCAACCTGTACAGGACACCATCAAATCTCCCCATCCCTCATTCCAACCAAAGAAAAGGGAGTCTGTGTCCTAGGGGAGTGAGCACAGGCCTGTCTATGCAGTGGGCACACGGCCCCGGTGGGGAAAGGCCCTTGGATACATGCTGGTTTCACCAGGGTCTGTGGGTTGGGTTTGGCCTGGACCCCTGGACTCCAGGAGGCCGGTAGCCCCTTGCATGGGACAGGACTGGGAGGTGGGTGGGAGGGCTGAGCTTTGAGGGAAGCTATTATTTGGCCTCATGGGAAGTGGTGCAGTGGTTTGGTGGCTCAGTTTTGCTGGACCTGGGTGATCACCCAAGGAGTGAAAATTGCCTTTTATGAGAAATTGCCAAAATTGATGCAAGCTTATCAGTTGAAAAGGTGAGTAATGCTGACAGGCGGGCTTCACCTGCCCCTTCCCCACAAGTAACTGGTGTTCAGAGGTGGATTTGGTTCCTTCCCAGCCTTTCCCCTTTGCATGTAGCTGTGTGCACGTACTTTTGTGTTACACACACGTTCCCTGGAGGGGTTACTTTTATTTTGTTTTTGGGGGGATAACTAGTGAGGCAGCCTGACACTTGCTTATCTTTTCTTTTAAGTGTGGAGTCCTCTATGGAGTGGGCATCGGGGACATACTAGCTGGCCTCTGCCAGCTGTTTGGCTGCCCCAGTTTCCGCTCTTCACAGACATGCTGGCCACCTGGTGTGACATTCAGTGGCCTTGTTGCAGCTAGTATGATGAGACAAGTGGATCAGGTACGTTATAAAACTGAGACAGCAACAAACATGCAGAGGGAAAGGAATAATGACCGTGTGTGTACTGCTCTGCTAAAGTCCACATCACATGACTGAGATGACAAACATTTTTCACCTAACATTTGGCCCTGAGAAAGGGCATTTATGTTTTACTTTATTTATTACAGAGTTAGAATAAATACTGCCAGGCTTTCTTTTCTATTTTCCCCAACCCCACTTTACCCCTCAAGTTTACCTACCTCAGAGAGAAAGCAGAGCTCGCCTGGTTAATGAGAGCCTGAAATGATTTGAGCCAGGTCACTGTGTAAAGGTCATACTGCTTCTGTCTCCTTGTACATCACTTGCTCAGCTCAGATATTTCATAGCTCCCTGTACACAGGTAGCTGTGTTACACTCCTAACCTGCTTCTTGGCTTGATACATGCCTGAGAGCATGTGGGAGCACTTAAGGTCTAGGGTCATGGGAGGACTGTTCTGCCCATGCCAGTTCATCTCTCCAGCTCAGCCTGCATGAGTGCCTTCCTCCATCTGATTCCAGAGTAGGGGATGGGAGGTCTCACACTGACCTCCAGCTCAGCCTGCATGCATGCCTCCTCCATCTGATTCCAGAGCAGGGGACGGGGAGGTCGCACACTGACCTCCAGCTCAGCCTGCATGCGTGCCTTCCTCCATCTGATTCCAGAATAGGGGATGGAGAGGTCTCACATTGACTTCGAGTTTATGTGACTTTTTCCACCTCTGCTTTCCCAGACAGCCTCTGCTGGGGACTTGTAAGGAGATTTGTGAAGTCAGTACTACTTTCCTTGTGTGGGTGTTTTATAAATTAGAGTCCTGGAAGGGAATAAATGTTAGAGGTACTCCAAACCCCTAACATCTAAACATCTAAGCCTGGTCCTTTTTGGTGGTAAAATATATACAACATAAAACTTACCATTTTAACCATGTTTTAAATATACAGTTGAGTGGCATCTAATATAATGTGTTGTACAACCATCTCCTTTATCCATATCTACAACTTCTTTATCATCCTAAACTGAAACACCATCCCCATAAATAAGTGTTTGAATATAAGACTGATGCATTTGACTCCATAAAAATTAAAACTTTATAGGCGAGAAAAATGCCTCAAAGTCAAAAGTCAACAGACTGGGGAAATAGGTCTGCAACATACATGACAGACAAAAAGCTAATTTAGGTTTTGTGTGTGTGTGTGTGTATATGTATATATGTGTATATGTATATGTGTATATATGTGTACATGTTATATATGTATGTATGTGTATATATATGTGTATGTGTGTGTGTATATATATAGCTATCCTAAATTATTAAAAGACCAGCAGCCAAATGAAAAATGGACAAGGGATGTAAAGAAACAGTTCAAAGAAACATGTAGATTTTTAAATATTTGGTAATTTTTTTACTGTGGTAAAATATGTACAACAGAAAATTTAAGTACATTAAGTAGAAATATGTTGTTGTGCAACTATCACCACTATCCATTCCAAACCTGTGTTATTATCCCAAAGTGAAACTCTGCATCCACAGAACAATAGCTCCCTG